GAACACGGAACGTAGGGGGCTGAAATTTTGCTGCAATGTCCTCTGCCCGTGTATGACCCAGAAAATTTAGAATAAGCCCTCCTGCAAGCCTGGGTATCACGTATGGCACCGTGAAAGTTTGGCGAATAAAATTACGATTTCGGGGACCACAGAAGTTAAGGGGTTGAAATTTTACGATAATGTCCCTTGCCCAAATACAACCACTCGCAAATTTAAATTTAGCCCTACCGAGGACTCGAGTACCGTGACTCAACTTCCATTGTTACTCGGAAGCCAGAAGAGGTAAGAATCTGAAACTTTCAAGAGAATGTTTTCTGTCTAAGCAGGAGCCACACAAATTCTAATTTAGTTTTTAATTATGCCGAGGCCTCACGCATGATCAAGTAAAAGTTCTGGGCGGAAATTATTCAAAAGCCAGAAAACTAGGAGATTGATTTTGGAAGGATGTTCACCGCACAAGATTTTAGTGGGAAATTTTGCAACTTAGGGACCATGCAACATTTCAACTATTTTTGTCCAGACCAAAGTGCGAAGCAGTGGAAATCCTTAACAGGCAAACGCTTGCTGGGCGCATGGTCGCAGCGGCTATCCTGGTGCCCGCTGCTATTTATTTTTATTGCCGGCTGAATTACATTCCTGTTCATTCAACTTTTCAATATAATTCCATATTATTTTTTTATATGCCGTAATTAACACCCCATCTTTTTTATAAAAACTTTTGAAATTTGTTTTCTGCTGCAATGTAAACGACAGTGCGTGATAGATATCGAAAAAATTTTTTTATAAAGTTTCAATGGGAAACATAACAGCAACGCTTTGATTGTAAAATGAAAATTAATGCAGCTCATTCAACTTTCAATATTGAATTTTCTGTTTGCAAATGTGAATGTTTGAAAAATTTATTAAGATAAAGGCGGTGAAAAAAGGCATTCTCGGCAAAAGGCGCGTGCCGTCTCTTCCTCTTCGTATTCTCCCTGCTTTTCTATATAATTCCGAACTGTCTCTGGAAGGATATTTAGGCAGGCACTGCATAACTTTCGCAGTCTTCTTTAAGCTAGGATCATTCTCCTTCCTTTTCATCTGTTATTCAGCATCCGATGCCCTCTTATGTGCGTTACAAAATTAAGTTTTATGGGTATGTTTTTTGTTCAACAATTGCAATACCGCTTCCAGGCAATTTCGAAAGTAGAACACTGCAAACCAGTGATTTGTAAAACTTGCCTCCAAATAGATCATTGTCAAATGTCCATGGATATTCGGCACCTCTGGATATACGCGCTAATATAGTGCAGAGAAGTATACATTCAAGCTTCCTCTTCAGCCTCACTGCCACCATCTGAAATTAATACACCTTGATAAAAAATACCTGCAACGAATTTTCAGACGATCTTGCCATTCGTT